GCAGCATGTCCAAGCCCTCTGATAGTAAATATAAGGGGAAAATGGATTAATGCTTAAAAAAATACCTGCATATACTTTTGTCTTTCATCCAGTAATGTTGGATCTAAACAGTCAAGCATTTGTATATTCTTAAATCTGTGATGAAAGACTGAGTCTTTTTTAAAGCAGGATGGTTTTTTAGGTGTTTAGACCTTAAGAAGAACAGAAATTAAAGGTCAGGTTCTCATCTGGCGTGAGAAGATTCAGCTACAGAGTTTTCAAAGACATGGTGCACATTTGCACCTGAAAAGGTCTTGGGCCTGGCCGAATCCTGTGTGAAAGGAATGGGGAGGGAAGGCTGAGCCAGGAGCTGCTACTGGGCTTGTTGGTTGTATCCCCTTTAGCATCTCTTGCGAAGAATTTCCTAACGTACCACTTACACCCTGCTTTCGCAGTGAAGGCTCAGCAAAGTTGTTGTGCTGTCAAGCCCTGATGTTTAAATTACTTTTTCCATCCTGTCTTCCTCACTTTCAGCTTATTAACTTGACATTTCATCTCAGTTATTTGCTCTTCTTCATACCCTTCTGGTGTCACTTGTCATTCACTGTCTATATGGGCAAGTCTGGCTGGCCAGAGGAATGTGTGCAGGGTGTTTGCTGTGGCTGTTGCAGGTGGAGGGAACCCTTTAGGTACTTCTGCATATTGTGATCTGATCCTTGCTTGGCATGCAGGAAGGTTGTTACCCTTACGTTTTTGTCAGTGGGGCAGAAAACCTTGCTGGTTCGACTTCCCTTTCGGGTGAGCATCTCCAAGGCTTCTCCAAGGGTTGCCCTCTGTGCAAACTCTTCCTGATGTGCAGTCATGAGCAACTCTTTGGCATGTTCTCATGTTCTTCCAAGACGGGTAAGGAGCCTTATTCCCCACACCCAGCATGAGTGGGGGTCCCAGGCCACGGCTGGAGAGCTTTGTTTTCTCATCCTCTGCTTCCATCTGGGTCTTCTGCTCAGTGCTGGGTGCACCCCCAGAGCGCGAGCAGCAGCTCAGGGAGGGGATCCTGCCCCTCTGCTGTGCTCTGGGGAGACCCCCCCTGCAGCCCTGATCCAGCTCTGGGGAACAGCACAAGAGGGACGTGGAGCTGCTGGAGCGAGGCCAGAGGAGGCCCCGGAGCTGCTGCGAGGGCTGGAGCAGCTCTGCTCTGGAGCCAGGCTGAGAGAGCTGGGCTGGGGCAGCTGGAGAAGAGAAGGCTCCTCAAGGGGACACCTTAGAGCAGCTCCAGGGCCTAAAGGGGCTCCAGGAAACCTGGAGAGGGGCTTTGGACAAGGGATGGAGGGACAGGACAAGGGCAATGGCTTGAACCTGCCAGAGGGGAGACTGAGATGAGCTCTTGGGCAGAAGCTCTTCCCTGTGAGGGTGCTGAGGCGCTGGCACAGGGTGCCCAGAGAAGCTGTGGCTGCCCCATCCCTGGCAGTGTTCAAGGCCAGGTTGGACACAGGGGCTTGGAGCAACCTGCTCTAGTGGAAGGTGTCCCTGCCCAGGGCAGGGGTTGGAGCTGGAGGAGCTTTAAGGTCCCTTCCAACCCAAACCAATCTGGGGTTCTGTGAAAACTATTCAGTCACAGCAAAATCTCAGGTGTCTGTTGGAAGTAATGAAGAAAAATCACGGTCAGGTAGCAACGTGCTTCCCACTGTGGTTGGGGATGAGGAATTGGCATAAGCAGTGTTTTAAATAACCAAATGTGTCAGAAGGGCACAAGTTAATGATGAAAAGCAAAAAAAGAACCCCATGGCTCTGCTAAACTTTATGGTTGCCGTGCTTCATCTTCATTTTAGCAAAGATGTTTGTTTGGAGGTGAGTAATGAACGCTCCTGGAGCTTGGGAACGGCTGTGAGCAGTGGAGATGAAGTACCCTGCCCTGAAATGCATGGGTCTGCTCTTTTTGTTTTAAATAAGAAATGCTTTTTTTCCTTCCTGCTTTTAAGACGAATGTGACCTGAAGATCCAAAACAACTTTGTAAAGCTGGTAAAAACCCTTCCCAGCACATGCATCAAACATTTACAATGAGGGTGGTAAAACACTGGCACAGGTTGCCCAGGGAGGTGGAGGATGTGCCATCCCTGGAGACATTCAAGGCCAGGCTGGATGCTGTTCTGGGCAACCTGATGTAGGTGAAGCTGTCCCTGCTCGCTGCAGGGGGGTTGGATTAGATGAGCTTTGAAGGTCCCTTCCAACCCAAACCATTCTTTGATGCTGTGAGTTGCTTATCTCAGTGTGCTGCAGTAACGAAACTTGCGGGACTCAGCTTGAAACACTGCTTAACCTCCTTGCTTTAATCCCAGTTTAAATACAGTTTGTGAGTGAGATCTAAGCCACTCCTTGTTTTCAAGAAAGCATGTTAAAGCCTTTTGTGTGCATCTGAACACATAATCTCCTGCAGGAGCTGTTTGCAGGTAGCACCATCATCCAGAAATATGGGATGCACATGCTGACATCAAATCGTTCCGTGCAGCATCACCTGGTAGGTCTGTGTGAGTCTGTGCTCTTGTGCCAAAGGATTTCCCCATGTTTATGGCTTTAATACATGTTGCAGGCCCGTGCCAATCTTACCTGCCAAATCTTACCTGTGGTTGATAATGAGGGAGAAAGGTGGATAGATTGAAAACTAAATGTCCCCACGTGTTCAGTGCCCCTAAATGATGCTTGGGGTTAGTTCACTGGGAGCTGGCACCTGTAACCTCTGAGACTTGCTGCCGTGGTGCAAAGTAAATTCAGTGAGAATAGAAGAAACCTCCTTTGTAAGTGTTGTGAGGGGTGGTCTGAGTTTGGGTTGATAATGAGGGAGAAAGGTGGATAGATTGAAAACTAAATGTCCCCACGTGTTCAGTGCCCCTAAATGATGCTTGGGGTTAGTTCACTGGGAGCTGGCACCTGTAACCTCTGAGACTTGCTGCCGTGGTGCAAAGTAAATTCAGTGAGAATAGAAGAAACCTCCTTTGTAAGTGTTGTGAGGGGTGGTCTGAGTTTGTTTAATGGCTTTGGTGATCCTTTGTATTTTCTGAAGTGCTTTGCTAAACACAGTGTGCTCCCTGCTTGCTCCTGAGCCTGTTCCTCTGTAGGACCAGAGCATCATCCTCTGGCCAGCCTGGCATGGGACAGCCACCTCCTCTTCTGTCCCCTTGGGGCATCCAAGAGTCTGTAGGTCTCTGTGGATGACCTGAGTTCTCCATCAGCTTCCCTCTCTGCTGCTGGTGGCTCTCCTGGTTGACAATGCTTTAGCCAGGTCAGGGTGTGGGTGCTTGAGATCTGTGACGTGCTTATGACCTTTCACAGGAGATGGAGCTTTCTGAGCACCCTTTCCCCTTTCTCCTGTTCCACAGCCCATCTCTACCCTCAGCATCATCCCTTTCCTTAATATGACTCCTCTATGGACATCCTAAGTCCTCAGGGGCATCCTGGGCTTTTTACCTGCCAGTTCAATTGTGTCAGTGCAGGGGCTTGGTTTGAAAATCAGCTCTTTCAGACTCCACAATTCGAAACTTCAAGCATTCTAATTAAATCATCTGTCCCGAGTTCTCTTCTCTTGCCTTGCAGTTGTTCCTCGATTGGAAGATGGAAGGTTTACCTCGGGTAACTCCTCTTGCTGTGGACTGTTCACAAGGTTTATAGCTTGAGATCTCAGTTGTTCCTCAAAAGTGAAATGTACCTGTCATGGTGCAGAGGAAATGGGTCAGACATTATTTACTGACAATGGTCTGAATTTCTTCTGTATCTGAAACTCAATTTCTCAGACTTCCATTGCAGATACGAGTGTTTTGAGGGATTTAAGTAGATTCTGTCTGTATGGCAGCCTCGGCTGCAGCCTCCTACATGTTGATCCCCTGTTTAGTCACTTCCTGTTAGGGACAGCTTGGGAGAAGGCTCTAAGGTGTCCCCTTGAGGAGCCTTCTCTTCTCCAGCTGCCCCAGCCCAGCTCTCTCAGCCTGGCTCCAGAGCAGAGCTGCTCCAGCCCTCGCAGCAGCTCCGGGGCCTCCTCTGGCCTCACTCCAGCAGCTCCACGTCCCTCTTGTGCTGTTCCCCAGAGCTGGATCAGGGCTGCAGGGGGGGTCTCCCCAGAGCACAGCAGAGGGGCAGGATCCCTTCCCTGAGCTGCTGCTCACGCTCTGGGGGTGCACCCAGCACACGGGGGGTTCTGGGCTCAAGCACACACTGAAGCCGGGTCATGGGGAGCTTCTTGTCAACCAACACCCCCAAGTGCTGCTCCTCAGGGCTGCAAACTGCATTCATGGAATCATAGAATCGATAGAATTCCCTGCGGTACAAGCAGGAGCAGCACATGTTGGGGTGCTTGAGGTTATTTCCCACTACCCAGGCCTGGGGAACAGTCCTGTCCGTATAAACACAAATGACTTCTTTAGTCACCTCCTTGCCATGATGTTTCCTTCTCCTTAGGCCCCAGTGGCACCTGGAAGGTGCCGCACGGTGCTAGAAGGGCTGAAGAGCATCCATGTGCTAGAGACACCATTGTCACAGTAGTGTGGCCCCAGCTCTCTGCTCCCTTGTAGCCAAGGCTAAACCTTGAACTATGAGCCTCTGCTGTTAGAAAGCGAATTTGAAATTCCTGTATGGAATATATATGGATTCTGGTTTGTTTGTGGGCTGGAGTTCTGAATTGTCATCAGCACTATTTTGACCTGTCAGTGCTGTTACTTCGGGCAATCTTTGTATGATGTTGAATGGTATATTGCCTGGCCCATGTTAGGACATGATAATGAGAGATGCCTAGAGCTCTAAACACCAAGGTTCTCTTGGATTCGAGCTGCTCATGGGCACTCTGACCTGGTAAGGTCTAATCCTACTGGTAGCAATGGAAGATGATTCCCTTTAAGGACGGTGTTTGCAAGAGTGAAGGTCCCACAGCAGATGGGATGTTAAAGAGGCTGTACTGGTGTGTCTTGGTCTGGAGAAGTTCCTCTTGCATTTTGTGCTTGATGGCCTTAATATAAGTGTCCCTTTCCTCCTGCAGGGGAAGGTGGCACAGACGGCGTGCATGTCAGCGTGCAAGCACCTCTCCACCTCACTGATGCAGCTACTGCTGGAAGCCGAAGTGCGGCAGCTGACGCTGGGTGCCCTGCAGCAGTTCAACCTGGACGTGGAGGAGTGCGAACGTAAGAGGGCAAAATCATCTCCTTATTTCCTTATTTCACTTTGCCCCTGTGTGCGTTGGGCCACAAGCCCCAGGGGTTTTACCGATACCAAGTGTTTGGGGCTGGTGAACCTCTGCAAAGCTCACTGGTGCTGTGCACAATGACACTTGGCAATATCTTCAGGACAGAAGCAGTCCAGTCAATTCTAAGAGATCAAAGCTTTACTCTTCCTTTTTCTTCTTAATGCAGCCTTCATGCTTTCATAGAATAGAATCATATAATCAGCTAGGTTCAAAGGGCCTTTAAGACCATCAAGTCCAACCATTCCCAGCACTGCCAAGGCCACCACTAATCCATGTCACTTAGGGCCTCATCTACACGGGATGTGAACACTTCCATGGACAGTGACTCCAGCACTGCCCTGGGCAGCCTGTTCCAATGCCTGAGCTCCCTTTGGGGAAGGAATTGTTCCCAGTCTCCATCTAAACCTGCCCTGGTGCAGCTTGAGACCAGAAGAACATTTCTAGACCATCCCTGCTTTTTGAGATGGAGTACTATGAAAATAGGAGTGGGTGAAACATGAGGAGGACTAACAAAAATCAATAACTGGGCTTATGTTCTTTAGAAGTTCTGGTCCTCTCCTGACCTCACCTGTTTATCTTCTTGTCTGCTGCAGGGAATTCTTTCTCAAAGCAAACTGTGTTTGCAAAGTCACTGTTATGGAGAAGAGATGTCCTGTAATAAAATGACTACATCCTTTCAGAGGTGTGCATGGAGCATCATGGGGCCAGGACCACAGCTTTGCTCTCAGCCCTGCTAATGTCTGTTCGTGTAACTTACACCTGAATTAGCTCTGAAATCCTGAAGTTTCCCTCAAGTTGCTTTCGATCCTCCTAATAAAAGGGCTAAAAAAATATAGCACAAAGCTATTTTTATAATCAAGCTAAAGCAAGGTGAATGCACTTCTGCACAGGAACCTCTCTCCCTTACCAGGGGGATGGATTTGTTACTGGGGTTAATATTAGGATGGAATAGTGACCGTGACTGCGGGAAACACAGAGCTTGTCAAGATTGATAAAGAGTTCAGGAAATATTTGATAAAGTATTTGGGGGGAAGTTTTTTCCCCAAATATCTGCCTTTTTGGCTTTCTCAGTTGAGCTGGAATTTGGGATATAGCCTGTCTAAATAGCAGTGAGTTTGCTTTTCCTATGTCTGGTAACCTGGTCTAGTGGAAGGTGTCCCTGCCCATGGCAGGGGATTGGAACTGGATGATCTTAAGGTCCTTTCCATCCCAAACCCGTGATTCTGTGGTTCTATAACTCAATTAAATCAGTTGTATTGGTTTCTTCATCATCTATCACTTAACAGTCTCAAAAGCTAATCTTCTACCCTTTATAAAAGGTTTTACTGGTTGTGTTTTAGTTCAGCTGCACCCATCAAGAGAGAGATGAAATTTGTATCTGAGAAAGGTCACTCAGTAAGAATTTTGGTGTTTGCAGTGAGTAGATTTTCATTTTTTAATGTCCTTTTGCCGATTTCCAGCACTCAGCTGAATAGCCTGTGAGAAGGATCCCTGTTCAGTCACAGAATCACAGACTGGTTTGGGTTTGAAGGGACCTCATCCAGTTCCCACCTCCTGCCACAGGCAGTGACATCTTCCACTAGACCAGGTTGCTCCTCAATGCATCACATCCGAAAGTTGCAGCTACACCATATATTGCAACACAAGCAATGCCTTTTTTTTCCTTTCAGAAACACCTTCAGCCCTGAATTCTTCCTAATTTGTGTCCCATCAACATATAGCAGCTGTGTTCCCAATCACTGTCCAGAGGGACAAGCAATGATGCTGAGGATAATAGGAAGCATTTGTCATTAATAATAGTTTCCTTCTTTTTCTTTTGGCTGCCAACAGACTTGTAACCCTGCAGTTTTCTGCCCCATCAGACTGTGGGTCAGTAAGCAGCATCTCTTCCCTAAAAGCCCTTGATGCTAAGTAAAACAGATGACATTTAATATCAGGTTTAAAAGTATGATTCCTTAAATTCCAAGTGTTTTGTGAGACAAAACCAGGAGCACTCAGACATTCAAGAGCAGGTGACGCCAACCTGAGCACTGGGGCAGGTGACCTGCTTCCCCCCAGCCCTTTCCCGGGATGCTGTCGCGGGCAGGGAATAGAGATGGATGTCGGTGCTGTAACCTTCCTATCCATCACTGTCAGCCCCTGGATCAGTAAACCCAGACAAAGTCTTTTTCTTCCCTTTACAGCAGCAAAACCACGTTCCCTCATTCCTGTGGGTTTCTCTAGTGGCTTTCCTGACACTGGGAGTAATTGTAGTTCTATTTTTCAGAAGCAATGCATTGAGATTTTCATTTTAGGAAAAGCCAATCCCAAGAGAGTTCAGGAAATATTTCCATTTTTAAGTTTTTTTTTTTTAGTTTTTTGTTTATTTGGGTTTTTTTTATCCTTTACCTGAAAGCCCAGGTGTGCATCTTGGTATCCTTATTGTACCACTTGCGTATTTGACTTTATGTCTCTGCCTCCAGCCCTTTTTCTCTCCCCAGATGCTGGAGCTGTCCCTAGTTTAGCAGCTTTATCATCTACTTATCATGTTAAAATAGGACTTTATAGCTGTTTGGAGCACTTCCAGTAAGGTCTGTGATGTGGGAATGAGGCTTCAGAGTTCTGATCCTAGAGTTTATTAGGCTTTTCTTTAAGTCTCTTATGAATGCCAAAGGTATAAGCTGGTTAAGAGAGTGGTGAGGCAAATTAATGAAAGGACTTAGTTGTATATTAAGCATGGTTTGAGGGTGATGCAGATAATTTGCTCCATATTAGGGCAGATATAATACACATTGCAAGAACATGGGTTTCTGTAGATAGTAGATAACAGTTGTAGAGGTGAAAAAGATGCTGGCTTAGGCTTATGACAAGACACCCATAAACTAATTCTCCAGACTTGTGGGTTCATAAAATATTTCCTGATTTGTTAATATTTGCTTTCCCATCAGCATAAAAAGGGAATGGCTGCAGGAGCCATTGCATCAGGTTAAGGTTTGGCACTAGGCAGGTGCAAGCCGGGGTCGTGCTTGGGAGAAGCATGGGGTTGTGATACCTTGTTCAGCCTGGAGAAGAGAAGGCTCCTGAAGGGGACACCTTAGAGCAGCTCCAGGGCCTAAAGGGGCTCCAGGAGACCTGGAGAGGGGCTTTGGACAAGGGATGGAGGGACAGGCCAAGGGGAATGGCTTGAACCTGCCAGAGGGGAGACTGAGATGAGCTCTTGGGCAGAAGCTCTTCCCTGTGAGGGTGCTGAGGCGCTGGCACAGGGTGCCCAGAGAAGCTGTGGCTGCCCCATCCCTGGCAGTGTTCAAGGCCAGGTTGGACACAGGGGCTTGGAGCACCCTGAGGTTGCAACCTGTGTGAGCTTTAAGGTCCCTTCCAACCCAAACCAGGCTGGGATTCTACGAACTGGGAAGAAATAGTAAGTTAAGTAAACATTGTGAGCCAAATCTTTTGGTCATACGAATAGTCCTGTATGCATCAGCAGTATTTTTGGTGTGAAAGAGGCAATGAAGAGTAGAGCTACAAAGTTATAAAGCTCCTATTAGGTTTCCTATGATGAGAGAAATCTGGGGAAAAAAGGGAGCTGTTTTCCTTTGGCATTATCCCTTCAGTGAGACCATGGCGCTGGAGCCTCCGGCCAGACAAAGCCCTCGAGGAGCCCAGAAGAGGTGGTTGTCCTCTTTTTTTGTCCCAGCAAATACCTGTTTCCCAAGATGTTTGTCAGAGGTTTGGAAGTCTTTTGGTGCAGCTTTACAGCAGTGTGTGTGTGTGGATGGCACAGCTGGCATCCAGGGAAGGGCAAAAGTCATTTTTAAATCGCCTGTTGTTGGCCAGGTATTAGTTGTAACTCTTGTTCTTATTGCTTGGCTTCACATAGCTCTTTTTTTATGCAGTCAAGAGAGATTCTCTTACCTCCTTTTTAAACCTGAAGAGAAATAAGGCATCGAGGTTAAACGAACTGCCCAGCAAGGCACAGTAGGACACCTCTAATTATGTCTCAATTTAGGAGGGAATTCTGGCTCCAGCCCAACAAACCAGCTTGAAAAGAGGAAAAAACCAGCTCTGGAGAGGGAAAAAAAACCCTAACACAAATATTCCTGTGAACCTGTAAATAGAGGAGGTGATGCTTTTTTCAGACCAAGCATTTGCTTTTTAAAATGAGTTTGCTGTCTTCCAGAATCCATCTGTAACCCAAGATTTAACAGTACATGCCACGTGCTTTTTGTAATTGCCGTGTGCCTTGTAGCCCAGTTCCCTGCTCTGCTCGTTTCTGGGACCTCCTGGTGCTGGTTTATATATCATTTTTCCATATCTCCTGTACCTAAGAGGTGGTGGGAATCGACTGTAACAGTCCAGATTGGGAGATTACAACTGAAAAAGCAACAAGAAAGGGGGTTGCTCTCACTCCTACGAAAGTGTTTCCCATCTCTGTAACCAGTTCCAGCAGTGGTTGAGGCAGATTGTTTTTACAATCCTTAGATCATAAAATAAGCAGTTCCCTAATCTCCGAAGTCTTTTAACCGCTGCTTTATGAGAAATTAAAAGCACCATAAAAATTATATTTCAGATTGCATTCAACTCACAGTTTTCAGTCAGACCACTCCTGGGGGCAGGCAAGAGGAAACCCAGATGTCTCCCATGTTTGAGGAATCCTCCATCCTGACACATGAGCGTGCCAAAATGTGCTGATACAGGTCTCGGCACAGCTGTTCGCCACCTCCCTCTTGGCCGTGTTATCTGGCTCTAAAGACTTTCCACATGGAAATCCAGTTATTTCATGTAAGATGCTGAGGGTTGCCCACCACACCGGAGGAGTCCTCCCCCTTGAGGACAGGCTGTGGGCTTGGCACCCTGCAAATGGTTGCCTGATGCTCTTCCAACCTGCATCCCACGGGGAATTAGCATGCGCGACACTAGAGGTGAGCAAAGAGGTTTTGAGGACAAACTCCCTGACTTTAG